TTTTTTTCAGGGAGAGTGCAATTGCAAAACGCTGTACATCAGTGAACGTGAATGAGCTTAAACAGACATATGTACGAAGATATTCTAATTTCAGTGTCAGATTTACGTACGCTAATTGAATAGACTTTAAAAGAACAAATTAAATCACTCTGCGGATAATTACATAATTAAGATAAAAGCGATACCTCAGAGACGGAAAACCAAGAGTTGGGCGGAGCTTTCCTGTCTTCCCATTGGCTACCTGCGCTGCCGCCATTCCATCATTATTTTCCATCATTTTTTATAGTGTTACAGCAAAATCTTAGACAATTATTTTATCTGGAGACCACTATCCTTGTGTCTTACCGTCGGTGATACCTTTACTATCTTCTATCCAGGGTAGATGCTGACTAAAATCTCGTCTTTAGCATTGCTTCAGTGGTGTCTAATTTGTCACCGTTAATTGCGTGAGGTGAAGGTAAAGTCAACCCCTTAAGCCTATTTCCCTTCACGCCCATTTTAGTCGCTATTTTCTCGCTCGGGGCTTCTACAAGGCAGGGGAAGCCTCTTATATATATTATTTCATTTCAGTATTTTCACTTTCATTTCTTTTATGTTTATAAGCTGAATATTTATTCGATTTTCTTTTGCAGACATAAAAACACTGATTATACATGTCAAAAGGTTAGAAGTATTCTTAGTAACCTGTCAACATTTTGTACAGCTAAGTATTAAAAAAATATGCATGAAACAGCGAATTTCGAGATTAGCCAAAAGAATAATCTATAATAGTATAAAAGCTTTTAATGTTAAAAGGGAATGGCATCCCTGTCCGAATTCTAGTGCTACGGCTTCTAACAGTATCTATCTGTCCCATTTTTTATTTTCCTCGAAATTTAGAAGGACCAAAGAAGAAACTGGCCCTTTTCAACTCTCTCTATTACAAAAACAACGTCTTTTAACTCCTCGCCAATTGAGAAGAAGGAAATGAAGTCACAAGCAGGATTCCCCCAGTTGTGGTCGTCCCCAGCTTTCTCCCCAACCCTCCCTTTCCCTTGTTTCTCTTTACCTACTTGCCCCTCGTCTCCTCCCCACTCTCCCATCTTCCCTACCTCTCCCTCGTATCTCCTTAAGGTCCATTTCTTCCTTCTTCCCCCGATTTTCCCGATCTTCGTATCTCTCTACCCTACTTAGCCTCCCTTTCCCTGTTGTCGGCGACCTCCCCCTCCCTCCAGCTTGCCTAATCCCTTTCGCCCTCCATCTCTCGTGTTTCCTGCTTCCCTAAACCCTCTCTAGGCTTATGCTCCTCCCTTTCACCACTTACCCATGCATCTTGACCTCTTGCCCCAACCCTTTTTTCGAGTGTCAATGGCCTTGTTTTGACCCCGACGTGAATTTGGAGTATTCTCCATGATCTAAAAATAAAATTTATAGGATATATTTTGGCGTCTTTCGTTTAAATTAGTTCTTGCCGTAATTTGGTCAAGATGTCAGTGTTCATTGATTTTGTGACGGTATGTAATGATTATTATAGACAAATAAAGAAATAAACTTTTCTTGGGTATTGATCTGATTACTTTGAGCCGAGGTTTTTATTCAGCAATTGTATAAGCTTATAGACACAGCGTTGGCTTCCTAATTCGATACAAGCTTCTTCAGTAATTAAACTTCCAGTAGTGTTCCCTACAAAAACCAACACATAAAGTCGGATTTTACATTTAAGATAGAATCATTTGCCTTTCTATAAGTACCAGTTTTGAACATAAACCCTTCTCATTCTCGGCCAGATTATTATCCCTATTGCTATTATTATTTTGACTATTTTCATATTTATTATATCACTGCTCCCACTCGCAACTCTTAACTCACCACAACTAAATATTTCCCTATCTGATAAGCAATTTCTGAAAACTTCAAGAACCTCTTGAATACCGGGGAATTAAAGAAGGGTCTTTTATTTCTATATCTATGTAGAAAAAAGAGTCTATTGGGATATTCCGATTTTGAGTTGGATTAATGTGACAGAGTTCAAAATAGCATTAATTTCTGTGTAAAAGGGAGTATATCGACCTTCACTGGAGTCCTGTAACACTAATCTCAGTCCATTTTTTTTAGTAAGATTTAACATCCGTTATCCTATTACTCTATTTGTCCGGTCTACACAGACCATGGGGAGGGAATCCCACAACCTTGCATGGACCACAAGAGAGGTCGCTTATTAGGTCGTTTATCCGGGTCGCTAAATAAAGGGAAAGATAAAAAGGAGGCTGGAGCAGAAAGTGCTCAGATTTTCTTACACGATTTAGCAGATAACTTCCCTGCGTGACAAAACATACGCCCAAGCACGCGCGCTCTTGTGTCTGAACGCCAAGAACACGCCAAGAACACACGCACTCGAGAGTAAGTCCTTTGGGTTTCAGACAGTCATACCCAGACGCAAGATCTACCGGCAGATCCTGGGCAAAGGCACACGTAAGCACAAGTGTAGATGTAGATTAACATAATTGGAACAGACCTCAAG